TCTAATCTCAGCAACACGTAACTTTGTTTTATGTTTCTCTTTTAAAGGCCGACATCCTACGTCATAGAGCATCGCAGGTCTCACCACCATCTTAAAAAATTTTCCTTTTAGTCTAAGCCGTACTTTTCTATCGCACAATAAGCTCAATGCATTCCTCCACTTCAACCAACCAACTTAAATTTTAATAATAACGTCTCCATCTATATCACCATCACTTTGAACAATAGACCTGAGATATCTAAAGCGTTCACACCTGTGATTTGATCACCCAAAGTTACAATTCTGCCACTAGAGCACCTACTACTATTACATTCCATGTATTCAGTTTTATATCTACTCAAACGAAGGCCTTTAGACTCCATTGTAAACCTCAATAATTCAAGTTGTTCCTGAACTCTTTCTCTAGTTCTATTTATAAGAAGAATATTATCAGCGAAAAGCATACACCAAGGTACATCCTCCTGTAAATGTCCACTCTGTAAATGTCCACTAAGAGCCACTAAGAGCATCCATAACTAAAGTAGAAAGATATGGGCTTAAAGTCGATCACTGATGTAATCCAACTGAAATAGGAAAATACTTGGTCAATCCTCATGTTCGAACACAAGTAACAGCTATGACTTGAATATAAGTCATATTAACACATTTCTTCTCTAAAACACTCCAAAGGACTTCTCTTGGAACCTCATCGTAAGCTTTTTCTAAAGCAATAAAATCATATGTAGATTCTCCTTACTCTCTAATTACTTCTCCATCAATAAGTTTATAGTAGACATATCCAGCATAAATCCAAATTGATTATGAGAAATCTTTGAAATATGTCTTAACCTATTTTCTGTTATCCTTCCAATAATTTTAAAGTATGACCCATGAACTTAATACCTCTATAATTTGCACACTCTTGTGCATCCCCTTCTTAAAAATGGAGACCGAAATATTATTCCTTCACTCCTCAGGCATTTTTTTAGTTTTTAAAATAATATTAAATAGTTTAGTAAGCCAAGAAACTCCCAAATCTTCTAAAAATTTCCACACTTCAATTGGGATATCATCAGGTCCTACTGATTTTCCACCCTTAGTTTTCTTGAAAGCATCCTCCACTTATATTTTACGAATGCGACGGTAAAAAGAAAATTATTTATTATTATTAACAATATTAAGATCATTAAAGTCAATCGTATTTTCAGAAACTTCATTAAAAATAGTTGACCCACCTATGTTAAATAACTTCTAAGAAAAACACTTTTTGATTTTCATCTTTAATATACTTTACGTGAATTAAATATTTACTTTTCTCTTCACTTTGTTTAGCTAGTTTATACAAATATTTTTCACCCTCATTAGTATCTAATCCATTATAAAGATCACTGATAGCATAATTTTTAACATCATAAATTATTCTTTTAGACTCCTTACGGGTCACATTATATTTTTCTCACTTCTCTAAGCTTTACATTTAAGCCAAATTTAATAACACTTCTTATATTTTATCTTTTCTTGCACGTTATTATTCTGTCATCAACTAGTTTTATTTATAGATTTTTATTTGTAAATAGTTTTTCTTTTGATTCTCCAAGTACATCTTTTACCACTTGTTTAATAATATTTTTTATTTTATCCCACATAGAATTTGCTTCTTTATTAACATCCCAAATCTTGAAGTTCACTCAATAATAATTTTATTTGTATCTTTTAGGTGCCCTCATTTAATCCTATAGCAATGATTTCTAGTATTATTTATTTTACAGATATTCATCTTAAAATCCAAAACTAATAATCAATATTGAATACTTAAATTCTTACTTGAATGACCTTACAATCTTTACATTCCTGACGATCTCTTCTTATAAGAAAATAATCAATTTGTGTTTTATTATATCCATTCTTATAAGTAATAACATGTTCATTTCTTTCTTAAATAAAATATTAGCAATAACAAAATCATTCGCTAAAGTAAAATCTAATATGGCTCAACCTTCTTTATTAATCACTCCAAAATCGTAGCCACTTTGAATATATCTAAAATCTTTTACCACTTTACCAACATGTCCATTTAAATCTCCTCCAATAAAAACATTTTTTTAAGTGGTATCATTTTTATTAATTCTTCTAGATCATTCCAGAATTTTTTTTTAGAACGTATATCTAATCCTACTTGAGGAGCATAAGCACTTACAGCATTAAATATCCTAGTATCAACAACAATCTTAAAAAATATAATTTTATCTTCAATTGTATTAATTTTTACAACATTATCTTTCATACTCTTATCTATAATTACACCTACATCATTGCTAGTGTGACTCATACCTAAATACCAAAGTTTAAAACTTAAACTATCAATCTCCTTGGTCATTTGTACAACTCATTTAGTTTCTTGAATACATAAAATACTTATGAACCATAATATCAACTAATTTCATTAATTTATCTATGACAGTACCAATATTTCAAAATCATATCCTAATATTAGTTTCATGGACTAACTTTTTTACCATCATTCATCCATAATGTATGAGCCCTTGCTTATTTGACACTACACCCACGTGTCAGTGTAGTGACCCTTACACATTTTTCGTTGTATTCAGGTCATACGGCGCGTCACTTCCAAAGGATGCTCTAGCATTTGCACAAGGATCTAAATGATTCATGTCATGATTTTCTCGAAAAAATTTACGCTGGTTGTCGACTACAATACGCAACTCTTCACTTTTCACATCTGGCACTTACGACCCGACAAATGCAATGTTAATGTTTAGCCATATTAATTAAAAATAACATTCTTACATTTTTAAAATTTTATTTAATATGCTTAAAGTATTCTTTTTTACTTGAAACTTTTTTAATAATTTACTTACATATGTTTACTTTAATTAAAAAGAAAATTCATATACATACCACTCAATTCTTATCCATTTACATATTTAACACTTCAACTTTAATTTTTACATGTGTCAACTTACCTATGCATAAAATAGTGGTTTTTTTTTTTTTTTTTTGATTTAAAAGAATTGGGTGGTATAAATATAAAAGACAAAGTTTAAGTATTAGATTTGTAAATACATAAGAATCAAGCGGTATGTATGTAAATGCCCCTAATATAAGGTTATATGATATTTTGATTCTAACTTTGCAGGTCATATGGTTGATAGAAAGAATGCATCAGAAATTTATCAATTCATAAGAAATTCTCTAAGCTTATGATCTAATAGAAAATAAAATTTAATTCTCTATCCATTATTAAAATAGAATATATAGCGACAATGAGCATCATTGCTCGAGTCAATGGCTTAAGCAATAGCTTCTTGACCTTGAACTGTCAGTTGATATAATACCTATCATATGGGATAACACTACTGTATATTACAAAAGTCATGCATAGCATCCTATAACTAAACACATTAATATTTGTCAATATATCAAAAATAATGCATCTAAAAGTGACAGGATTATTCAATAATTAACATTGAAAATCAATTGGTAAGTAATTTACAAAATCAACGAGTAATGATAGTCACAATCCTCTAAGCACAAAATTAAGAAACCTTTAGTTAGGCACCTTAACATTTTATATCATGAGTTTATGTTTTTAAAAGCGTGCTTACTTTCTAGTGTTTTATTCGTGTATTACATTTATGTGATTTGTTACATTTGGTATGTATTTTAAACTTCATGGCTTTGTTATTCACATTATCTGAGGAATTCCTTTAGGATGGTTGGGATAACTTCGTGAAATCTGGATAACCATAAAATCCAAACCAAATCAATAAAATAATACATATTAATCATACTGTGTGATCCAAATTATACTATATGAGACTTTCGTATTATATAATTAGTCAAATTTAGCAATTACTAGCCCACATTAAATAAGATGTGGTGACAAAGTCAATCATATTGTACAATTCACATCGTATTACACAGTTGATCTTTAGTCAAATTATATATTTTAGGTCATTTGGGTGAATAATAAAATTTAAAAATCATATTGTATGATGCATATCATACAATACAATTATTCATAGTTCAATATGCCACATATGACTTATATCTTGCTTCTTCATTCAATTCTCTATAAAACTTTCTCATATTGAAAATGATTTGTGATCGCGTCAAGCAAAAGGCAGTAAGGCACCGACATATCATCATCCTGATCATCAATTTAGAACAAATAAATTGAGACATGCATATAATAAGAATGGTCAGTGATGTCAAGCGTCATCTCAATCTTGCCTGTGGTCGTTCATCATGCTATGTACTAGAGATCAAATATAATCCAAACCATCATGATTTATCTGACAAAATTCCTGTCCCCTTCATCAAGCATTCCTCTCATATACTCTTTAGCATCAAGAAGAATGTTGTCTAGATTAACGACAGTTATTATAAAGATAAAAAAAGGAAAAACTACCCCCATATCTCCACGCAGAACTCCTTGAGATCATTGATCCTACACATATTCCCAGGATACAAATGACAAACAACAACAAGCACTTTATCCCACTAAGTGGGATCGACGACATGAATCATTTTTCTCCATTGTGTCCTATTGAGTGTCATATTTTCATTTAATTATATTTTCACTTAATTCTAATAGATTAGATCATTTTTTTATATAATATACTCAAAGTCTTTTTAGGTCTACCTCTGTCTTTCCTGACATAAGTTGAATCTAAAACATCTACTCTCCTAACTGGATCATCAGATGTAACTCTCCTAACTGGATCATCAGATGGTCGACATTTAATGTGAACAAACCATCTAAGACGACTCTCTCTAATCTTATCTGCAACCGGATGCTTAAATTAAATACTATATTATCTAGATCTACAAAATTGATGGTGCAATCTTTAAAAACTTATTGAAGTTTAGGTGTTAGATATGTAAATCCATAAGAATTGGGTGGTATGTATGAAAATGCCCCTATATAACAAAAAGATCTAAACATGAATCCATCACCCAAGAAAAGCTCAATTCTAAAAGCTAAGAAGAATACCAAGTGAAAAATAAAAAGCAGGAAATTGAAAAACGACATTAAAATTTCTCGTGCCATAAGTTTAAAGCATATTCCCTGATCTCATTACTTCCTGGTAAGAATTCAAAGATGAACATCAAAGATGCAATTTGCACCTTCTCATAGAAATTTTGAAGCATACCGACAATCAAAACTTCAGCTGTGTATTCCACGTTCCCTGAACGCTAGGATGCTTGGTCACATGCCTTGTTCGCAGCTTAATGACCTTTCTGCCAAGAGCATTCCTTAGTCTGGTTGCGTGTAACAGTATTTCTTCGGGTGATAGGTTCTTCACACAAATCACACGCTGATTATGGTTCTCTGAAGCTCAACAGAAACACTGTATTAGAAAAGAAAAGATTCGGTGGCTTCTACACTTTCTACAAAGAAAACGTCTATCATGGAGGAAGGCGTTGAAGTAGAGAGTGATACTCGTATTAACCCAAACAATAATAAAAAACAAATATTATTACTGAAAATAAAAATTGACAGCTATAACCAACACAGAAAGGAAAATAACAATACCGGATATAATACTCAACTGGACGCGCGGCTGGCTGTTTATGCAAGATGTATGGGAGGTTGGTGGTGAGCAGCATGGGAAGATGTGAGGTGGTGAAGGTTTATAGGTGGAAAGATGGGGCTGCGATCGGGTGGCAGGACTGCAGGAGGAAGACTTGGGTTCAGCTGGACGGGAAGCGCTGACTAGCAAGGACAGCAGGAGCATCAGAAAGGTGACTGACTGGAGAGGTGGTAGGAGCAGGAGGATAGCAAGGAGGGTTGTACAGTGGGTCCTGCAGCAAGGAGAGGCGACGGCGGGTGTGGGGA